TTCTTTCTTCCTCCCTCTCGCCATTCACTGAATATCGACAGTGTGCCCCACACTCTGCGCCGACATCAGCCAGTGCCATTGCCTTGACTCTCTTCCAACTAAAACTTCCTGGACCGATTTTAATTATATGTGTCTTCCCCCATTGGATTGAAAGCTCCCTGAAGGTGGGGTCTGGGTCATCTTCTTATTCCTTGTACTTAATATACATAGTCAAAACTCGATAAATGTTTAATAAATGAATGAATGACTACGTTAACTTACTGTAGTATCCCAACCATTCCCAAGTTAGAGTCGGTTTTCCCATTTAACAGATGAGAAAGGGAGTTTTGGAGAGGTGGAATAGGGATTGGAAGGGAGCAGAGTTGAGATCATTAACCCAGTTCTGTCTAACTCCAAAGCTCTTTTATATATGTTTTATTGTCCTTAGAAACATATGTTTTACAGGCCTATCATGTGAACGCTATTAAAAATAGAAGCTGGGGGCCTCGGAGAGCAGCGCAAATGTAAGGGACCCAGAGGCTGCTCCCTTCCTGAGTTTATTAGCAACGCTTTGGCTGCTCGGCACCACGGAGGCTGCAGCGGGGCTTGGACTCGAAGCTCAACGCTTTTATCACGATGTGTGGAACTTTAAAAGCGGACTATTAATATCATACTGCTGGCTTCTCAACTACTTTTCATAGCCAACTTGGTCACATTTCAAAATGTTTAGGCTGTGGAATGAAGATGGTTCAGGCCCATGTGATCTCTCTCCCAGGCCCCAGACCCAAAAAGATCAGTTGACTGCTCTTGTCATGTCTAAGCCAGAACCTTTATCCACTGTCTCCTCCTGCCCCTCCACCGCAGAGGCAGAGTTTCCAAAGCAAATGGTTGTTGCCTTTCAGGGCCCCTCTGTGTTTACTTTGAGAAGGTCAAGCACAATACTGTGGTGTGTTGCTGTTCTTTCTTTTCAAAGCGCCAGTATGAATTTGATAAAGTAAATTGTTGTTCTAGCAGGAAGCAGTTAGGGGTCACAAAATAAATAGCCGTAGAATTCAAATAAATCCAAAGAATAAAACCAAATAAATCCATGTGTGTATGCCCAGTGATACATAAATACACTTTTTAGAAAGTGTGCATTTTTATCGCTGCCGGTCTGGACCAAAGTAATTGAAAAATTGTGTCCTTCATGGTACATTTTTTTTTAGAGGCAGTCTGGGGCTTTGAGCAACGTGACATGAATTTAGTTCTTTTTGAAAAACATGAAAATGGAATTTTATCTTTGAACAACTGCTTATCTTGGGGTTTTGCAGCTAATGAAATTCACATTTGGATGAAACCAATTTGCAAAGTTAAATTAGGGATTGAGCGTTTGGTGGGTGGACGAAGGGCCCCTTTGAATGAACCAGATATTCTGAGTTTCTGATCGCTCCATTTGAAGATGAGAGATAGTAGTGCTTAAATGATGCTTTACAATGACCTCTCTCAATGCAAGCATGGATGATATACAGTACCTAACACATTGTTGGTGCATGGTAGTGGTGGCTATTATTTCTAAGATTCTCTCGTGTAGTTTTCCCTGGTCCTGAGATTCAGTGTTTCACCTTTTACAGTGAAGTAGTGTTGGAGTTTGGTATTGAACTTGAGTAGTAGGGGAGAAAGAGGTATTTGAGTCTAAGAGAATAGCACGAACCCAGGCAGCATCTCTATGTGTTTTCTCCTGGGAGGTTGTATGAGGAGAGCAGCCAACCATGAAGTGGGGGGG